ACTCACAGAGATCTGCCTGCCTCTGTCTCCCAAGTGCTGGGACTAAAGACGTGCATTACCATGCCTGGCCTCATTGATCATTTAAAAATTTTTTTTTATTATTTTTAATTTAATGTGTATGAATGTATTGCCTGCAAGTGTGTAAGTACACCTGTGTTTTGCAGTGCCCACAGAGGTCCGAAGAATGTGTTGAATCCCCTGGAACATAAGTTACAAATGGTTGTTAGCCAATATGTGTGTCCTCTGCAAGAGCAGTAAGTGAGTGCTCTTAATTGTTGAGCCATCTCTCCTGCCTGGATTCATTATCTCTTAAGGATGTAATGTTCCCTAGCTTTTTCCTGTTTCTTGTATTTCTAAGTTGTGGTAGATAACTTTTCCAGTTTTATTTGGGTTGTGTGTGGAGGCAGATGTCTTTGATACCAGCACTCTGGAGGCTGATGCAGGAGGAGCTTTGTTTTTTGCCTGCCTGTATGTAATTGCACCTATTCATGCAGTGCCCATGGAGGCCAGAAGAGGGTGTTGAATCCCCTAGAACTGGAATTACAGAGTATTGTTGGCTGCCATGTGAGTGTTGGGAATAGAACCTGGATGAGCTCAAGTAATACATGACAGTTCATCAATATAATGTATGTTACAGCATCTCACTACAGAAATGTGGCCACTGACCACACTACTTTCTCAGCCCGAGCCTTCTGTTAACAGGCTTCTCAGTTTGATCACATTTTTCCTTTTGTGACCTTTTTCTTGGGGCCATCTTCTACCTAGAAATTGTAGCAGATTGTTGCTTATCTCCCTGTCTTAAAGATTGTTTTTTGTTTTCAGGTCTCCAGAGTAGTTTAGTTTCAAATAGCAAGACCTGTGGTAAAATGGTGCCCAGTTGGGACTGGAGAGATGTCTCAGCAATTAAAAGCACTTGCTGCTTTTGGAGAGGACTTGGGTTGGTTCCCAGCGCCTATATGATAGCTCACAGCCATCTGTAACTCTAGTTCTAGGAGATCCAACATCATATTCTGACCTCCCTGTACCAGGCAGACATGTGGTACACATACATACATGCAGTCACACACACTTACTCATTAAATAAAAATAAATCTTTCTAAAAAATGATGCCTGGCTAATTAGAATTCCAAGATAATGGAGAATAACAAATTGGATGTCTTTTCCAGTGCCGGCCTGTTAACATACAAGGAGTCACTATGACACCAAATACTCTCATCAGGACTTGGGAGAGAACAGTGACTTATCTTATGGCTTGGACTGCTGGCATCTGTGTTTACCAGAACTGCCTGTATTACTTTGGATGTAGATTCAGCTTACTCTATCACTTGAAGAGCTATGGGCTTAAAAAATTTTTTTTTACTTTTATCTGCTTACTCTTTCTGTTTCTTCGGGCATGTGTGTGTGTGTGTGTGTGTTGCAGACAGCTGGCACTGAGGTTTTTGTTTAACAACCTGTATCTTCTAGGAGCTGCATTATCTACCCATGTAGGGTACCTCTCTACAAACTCATATTTTTTAATTAGATTACAAAATAATGGTTTTTCCATATGGCTTTTTTATATATCCTTGCTTTGAGTTAACTCTTCCTCCACCCTCTGCTTTTCCCCCATCCTTCCACTCCCATCCCTGATCCCCTATAGTGTGCTCTCTCTCTCTCTCTCTCTCTCTCTCTCTCTCTCTCACACACACACACACACACACACACACACACACACACACGTGTCTACTTTCTTACCATGTTATTACTACTTTTAAAACATTCTTGGCCTGACAGGGTAGTTGTAAAGACTAATTGATTAAACTACTTAGATATTGGTACATATACTATATATTTCATATGTGTTAGCTTCTATTATGCATTCTGCTTTAATAGTGAAGTGTATGTAGGGCTATGATTGTTACTGGATAACTGTAGATGCTGGAGAGTATAAGTTAGTCTGTCTCAAGGTGAGATTTGAAATGTCAATTTGGTTGCTGTTTTTATTCAGTTTTTAAAAAAATTTGAAACTGTTTTAAAGTTATTTTTGACAGTTACTCACTTTTGTATGTGTATGGATGTACAAGTCCCTTGGCACTAGTGTAGAGGTCAGAGGGCAACCTGTGGGATTCAGTTCTCTCCTTCTACCATGTGGGTCTCAGAGATTGAACTTGGGTCTTCACCCTTGGTGGCAAGTGCCTTCATGCTTGTAACTATCTCACTCCCCTGAAATGGTGTCTTATGTCACCCAGGCTGGCCCTCAAACTCACTATGTAAGCCTAGGATGACCTTGAGCTCCTTTCTCTCAACTGCTGAAATTACGTTTCTACACCACAGTGCCCAGCTTCTGCTTTTGTTTTTTTATGCTCCTTTAGTAACCTGGATTTCATACATCATAATTTATGTACCCACAGGCATATAAATCAGCAGTCTATATTTGGTGTGTGTGTGTGTGTGTGTGTACTTCGTGTGTGTAGATATCTGTATGTATGTATATGTGTGATGTATGTGTGCATTCATTGGGTGTATGCATGTGTGTATTTGGGTGCCCATGTAGAGGCCCGAAGTCAGTGTCAGGTGTCTTTCTCTGTCACTTTCCACCTTATTTTTTGAGACAAAGGCTTTCACTGAACCTGTAGTGTGGGGTCTCTCCCTCTCCTCGTGGGTCATTGGCCACCGTTCCACAAGAACAAAGGGAGCAGAAGTGACGAACGGGGTCAGGAAGGCCAGTGAGCACTGACCGAAGAAAGCCCTTCCGGGGAGGCAGGTTCAGTGATACAAACAGCTCCAGACTCAGTGAAATAGCTCTAGATTCAGTGAAACAGCTCCAGATTCAGTGAAACAGCTCCGTTTATTCAGTGGGGATTAGGGAAAATATAGTGTGGGGGCAGTAGCCAATGCTTCAGCTGATAGGTGCTCACAGTATGCTTTATTTACATGTGGCAGTGGGCTCCTATCGTCCGACTACCGGGCAATGCCTAATTATCATAGAAAAAACCCAGGAGTAGTTTTTACCCCGGGTAACTATGCCAAAGGTCATGTTCCAAATAAGGTCAGGCATCCATGCATGGTGGCACTTTCCAGGTAAGTCAGGCAGAGAGCAGGAGGCCCCCTGCTGAGAAGGGGAGTCCTTCCATATAGCGCCAGCCCCTTAGAGCTATCTGGACATGGAGGACTACAACCCTAGCAGCAGGGTTCCCCAACACTGTAGTCCACTGGTTGGTTAGGCTGTCTGGCCACTTACCAGTGACCTCCAAGTGGTCCGCCTGTCACTGCCTCTCCCCACAACCCCACACTGGGTTTAGCTGACAGATGCACACCACCTTTTACGTGGATGCTGGGGATCCAAACTAAGATGTTCATCCTTTTGTGGAAGCTGTGGAGTTTGTTCCACCATGTGAGTTCTGTGAATCAAACTCAGATTGTCAGACTTACTGGCAAGTGCCTTTATCCACTGAACCATCTCACCAGCCTCTAGTTTTTGTTGTTTTTGGTTTTTCTTTCTCTTACAGTCTATCGTCATCAAGGGAAACTAGGGCAGGAACCTGAAGGAGGAGCTGAAGCACAGACCATGGAGGAATGCTGCTTACTGGTTTGCTCCCCATGGCTTGCTCAGCTTTTCTTATATAACCTAAACCCACCTTTCCAGGGATGAATCCTGTTTTTTTTTTGTTTTGTTTTTGTTTTTGTTTTTTTTTTGAGGGTCTTACTATGTAAATCAGGCTGGCCTTGAATTCACAGTATCTGCTTGCTTCTGCCTCCTGAGTGCTGGGATTAAAGGCCTGACTTGACAGATGAATTTTTTAAAATAAATTTTAAATAAATTTAAATAAATTTTTAATTGAATTTTTGTGTATTTCATACATAAAATCATCTTTCATACATAAAATCCCTTCCCCTTTGGCATCCTCCCATAGCCTCCCCCCACCCCTAACAGATGATTTTTAATCTGTAAACAGGAATTTTGAGTGTTGCATAGTACTTTGGTGACTATTTTAAACTGTTACAATGAGGCAGTAAGTGAATTTATAAAGAAGTCAGGAGCTGAGCATTGTGGACTATGCTTGTATTCCTAGCACTGAAAAGCAAGAGAATAGCCATGAGTTTGATACCAGCCTAGACTACAGAGTGAGACACTGTCTCAACCTTTCCCTCAAAAAAAAAATCAACTAGTTTTTCCCTTCATTTTGAAGAGGGTCATGCTACTTACATCAGGTAATAAATGCATAAATTGGGAGTTGTGGCATATACTTGTATAGTTCTAGTTCCTGGGAGGCAGAGTAAGAGAATTGTTGAAGCCCAGGAGTTGGGGTCAGGCTGGGCAGCACTATAAGATCCTATCTCCCTCTCTTCTCCTAACCCATCTCTCTGTCTTTCTTTTTGAGACAGGGTCTTTCTCTAGCCCCAGCTGGCCTGGAACTCACTAATGTAGATCAGGCTGGCCTTGATCTCACAGAGATTCATCTGTCTCTGCCTCCTGAGTGCCTTCACCACTATGTTTGTCAAAGACTCAATCCCTTTTTTTCTTTTGTTTTATTTATTTTTATTTTATGTGTATGAGTGCCTGCTTGTGTGTAAATGTACTCTTGCATTGCCCATGGAGGTCAGAAGTGGGCACTGAATCCCTTGGAACTGGAGGTATGGACAGTTAACTGCCTCGTGGGTGCTGGGATTCAAACTCCGGTCTTATGCAAGAGCAGCCAGTGTTCTTAATCAGTCCCAAGACTTGATCTCTTAAAAGAAAAATAAATGGAGCTGGAGAGGTTGCTCAGTGGTTAAGAGCACAGTTTGCTCTTGAAGAAGACTCAGGTTTGGCTCCCAGTACCCACATGACTGCTAGCAACTGGCTATAACTCCAGTTCCTGGGGCTCTGATGCCCTCTTTTGGCATCTGTGGGAATTTCATGCCTGTGGTGCATTTACATATATGCAGGCAGAACACTTATACACACACACAAAAATTTTTTTAATGAATAATTCAGGATAATTATGTTAATGTGCATATTATTAATTAATTTTTTTTAGTCAGATTCTGGAGAAGTAAATAGAAGCACAGAACTGAAGAAACTTCAGATTTTTGGAGCTGGACCCAAAGTTGTGGGCCTGACAGTGGGAGCAAAAGATAAAGAAGGTAAAATCTGTTACTCGTCTTGAAATGAATTGTGGTAATGTGTTTATAAAAAGGTTCAGATGATACTTGAATTTCAATCTGTGCTGGGAATTTCTGAAGAATTGTAAACTTACAACATGGCTTGTAGGCAGATGCCTTTTTAATGGTATATATCTTAAATTATTTCAGGAACAATATTACTTTGAATGTTTTTTACTTTAAAAGAGAATCTTCCTTTTCCATGTCTAATTACAACACAGAAATTTCATTCAGTTTCTAGTTTAGTTTCACTAATAATAGTGAAGTTATTGGTGTCAACTAGTGTTCTAAACGTTGTTACTTTTAATTTAAAAGGGGTTCTTAGACTTTTGGTATGAAAACATACTTGGAAGAGCTTAGAACTTTTAAACTCTAACCACCATTTTGATCCTTAATAATTTGCCCTCGCTGGGCATGGTGGTGCACGCCTTTAATCCCAGCACTCGGGAGGCAGAGGCAGGTGGATCTCTGAGGTTAGGCCAGCCTGGTCTACATAGTAAGTTCCAGGCCCTCTGGGGCTACAGGGAGACCCTGTCTCAAAATGACAAAAAACAAAACAAAACAAAAAAAAAACCTTCGTTTATATTGTACCATTCAAATAAATTATTTTCATTAAAAAGCCTGTTTTGGCATAGCATTGGAAATATTTGTGAGTAGAATTGTTGGTGCAAAAATTAATTAGATGATGATATAGTTTCTCCTTTATATAACATGTCAATTTAAAATTTATTTTAACAAGGAATAAGCTGACATGTTTTGACAATGAGAATTTAATGAAATGTTAAAGTCACATATTACTATGCATTTATGAGATGATTAGTTAATATAAATGTGGATTGTGAACTGCACTGTAGAGGATCAGATAATATTATTTCATTCTCAGAACATTGAGGGTATTCAAGCCTGGTCACATAGGGTTGTTGTAATCCCAGCTACTCAGAAGACTGAGACAGGAGGATCACAAGATTGAGATTGCCTGGACTACATAGCATGAGTTTCTGGACAGCCCAAACAACTTGGAGAGACAGACCCTGTCTCAGAATAAAATAGTATAAAAGAAGGCAGGGGTACTGCTCAGCAGTGGAATATTTGCCTACCACACTCTAATGCCCTAGGTTCAAACTCCAGTAGCAGAAAAATTAAGCACACATAACAGTGTAATAATACCAAACATTATGGTCTTTTTTTATTACCCTTTTAAGAGTTAAGTACTTTGGACACTATGGGACCCTGTTTCAAAAAAAATTTAAGTGCTTCATCTCTGCCACTCTTTTCTTTCTTGTTTTTGTTTTTGCTTTTGGCACTCCTCCTGTTTCAACCTCCCAAGTGCTGGGATTACTGATGTGAACCCCCACTCCTAGCTGTATACCATTCTTTTCATTATTCTTTGTCTGGCAATATTATTAAAGATGAAGCCCCGACTAATTTGAGAGTCCCTGTAAATCATTCACATATAGTATGTAGTAAGTACTACATTCAGGCAATCATTAATGGTTTAACTCTCCAGAGTTTGTTTTGGTTAGAATCCCAAATCTGCCACTGACTAACTGGCTGTATGATCTTGAACAAGTTATCTAACTTTCTATACCTTAGTTTCTTTATCTTCAGCTGCAGACAATAATAATATCTATCTCTTACTGTTGTGAGACTTTAAATAATTTTTGATAGTAACTGGTCCATAGTAAGCTCTCAACATTAGTTTTTACTATTATTATATAACTTTTTATTTCAAGATGAGGTCACCCGGAGACGAAAAGTTACCAACAGGTCAGACGCATTTAACATGCAAATGAGACAACGGAAAGGAACACTCTCTGTTAACTTTGTAAGTGCTTTGGGATGTGTCAGGAGGGAAAGGATTTATTTTTATCTTGGTGTACCTTGGCATATGATGTTTTATTATTAACTTATTTGGTAGGAAGACAGCAAAACTAAAGTTGCGGCTTTGGATTATATAATGTTAATCTTGTTTTGTCTCATGTAGACTGTTTGCCCATGTGGGTAACTGAGTTAGAGTGAATATGAATCTGTGTATAGTTGGCCCTTTGAATCTCCAGGTTCTATATCCTTGGGTTCAATGGATGTAAAATATTCTTTAAAAATTGTAAATAATACAGAACTCTTTTATTTGTCTTCTTTTTTTTAAATAAATGAGATGGGTCTGACTATGTAACCTAGACTAGCCTAGAACTCCGTATGAAGCTTAGGATGGCCTTAAACTTGAGATCATGCTGCCTCAGCCTCTTGAGTGCTAGTATTACAGGCATGTCTCACCAAGCCTAGCATAATCTCTTTTCTTGGCATCATTTACTAAAAGATACAGTATAGCATTTACATAGCATTAGTATAAATAATCTAGAGGTGACTTATCATGTAGAAGTATGTGTATAGATGACAAACAGCTATTAAGCCATTCTAGGTGAGGATTTAAGCAACTGTGAGTTTTAGTATCTGTTTGGGGAGGTGGGAGGTGGGAGGTGGGGGATGGGGACACAAATTCTAGAACCAAACCCTGGCAGATACAAAGGATTGTTATAAATCATCAAGTTTAGGTATATTATAGGCAGTTCTTAGTTTTCATTTTCTTTTAGTGTGTTTGTATACATGCTGAATGATGATATTTTGGGGGTATAAACTTATATTCCCATACTCTAGGTTATAGACTTTTTTTTGTTTTTAAGACAGGGTCTCCTTGTTGCCCCAGCTGGCTTGGAACTCACTCTGTAAACCAGGCTGGCCTTGAACTCACAGAGATATGCCTGCCTCTGCCTCCCAAGTGATGGCATTAAAGGTGTGCACCACCATGCCTGGCAGATTATAGAATTTCTTGATTCTAGCAACTTGTTATATGTTTACTAATTTGCTTGTAGAAGTTCTGGAGAGAAATTTAGGGATTTTTTTTTTTTTATGAAAAACTTTAATAATATAATTGAAATAGATTTTTAGGATTTAATTGTTTACTCTTTTGTATACATTGTTTTAATTAAAGATTAGTTCATAATAACAATATAATACTCTGTATTATAGAAAATAGACTTATTTTTATTTATCTTTACAGGTTGATCTCTATGTTTGTATGTTTTGTGGTCGGGGAAACAATGAGGATAAATTACTTTTGTGTGATGGATGTGATGACAGCTATCATACATTTTGTCTAATTCCACCTCTACCTGATGTGCCCAAAGGAGACTGGAGATGTCCTAAGTGTGTTGCTGAGGTACCAACCTAACCTTATGTGGATCTTTATAACTAAAAACACTCTGTGAGAGAGTGTGTATATGTGTGTGTATGTGTGTGTGTGTGTGTATGTGTGTGTGTGTGTGTAAACACATTCCCAAAAGCTTGTCCCAGTCTCTTGTTTTTTTAGTATTGAAAAATCTCTTAAGATTTTAAAAAGAGCTGTGCCGAATAGATAATGTAGCAGCTACATATGGCCGCTTAACATTTTTTTCCCCTTCTCTTACTATTGGTTAGATAATTCCATTTATTGCTTCAGGTAAATTTGTTTTGTTTTGTTTTGTTTTGTTTGGGGTTTTTTGGCCCTATCCCCAGTTGACCTGGAACTTTCTGTGTAGACCAGACTGGCCTGGAACTCACAGAGATCCACCTGCCTCTGCCTCCCAAGTACTGGGATTAAAGGCCTGTGCCACCATGCCAGGCATGAATGAGATTTTTTTTAAATTGTAAATTATTTTATTATGTAAATGGCAACAGTTAAAAATGTGGGGACTGGAGAGGCATCTCAGTGGTAAAGAGCACGGGCTACTCTTCCAGAGGACCCAGGCTCAGTTCCCAGCATCCACATGGCCACTAACAAGCAACAGCAACCTCAGTTCCAGGGAATCCCACACCTTCTTCTGGCCTCAACAGGCATTGCATGACATGCATGCACTTAGACACATGCAGGCAAAACATTCATACACATTAAAAATATATATAAGAAAAACACTCAAACAAAAATAAAATGTGACTAGAACTAAGCAAGTACATAAAGCATATTTTATTTTATATTTTTAAAATTTTTATTTTTAATTGTATGCATGTTAGTCCACCTGTATCATGCAATGCCTGCAGAGGACAAAAGAGGGCGTTGGATCACTCAGAACTGGAGTTACAGAAGATTGTTAGCCACCATGTGATTATTAGGATTCGAACCTGTGTCTTCTGCAAGAATAGCCACTGCTCTTAACTGCTGGACCATCTCTCTAGCCCCTTGTTTTATTTTACTTTATTTTTTGGTCTTTTTAAGACAGGGTCTCCCTGTAGCCCCAGCTGGCCGGGTACTTGCTATGTACATCGGGCTGGCCTTGAACTCACTGAGATCCACCTGCCTCTGCCTCCCAAGTGTTGGGATTAAAGGCGTGTGCTTCCTTTATGTTTTTGAGATAGGTCTTGCTATGTAGCCCTGGCTGACCTGAAATTCACCATGTGGAGCAGGCTGGCCTACAACTCAAAGAAATCTGCCTACCTCTGTCACTTCAACTGGCTACAAAATATTTTAAATGACAAAGTATCAACATTCTGTTTTCTTGCTTGAAGACATTTATCTTTCCTAGACTTGAAACTGTAGTTTTCATTACATATAACTAGTCTATGAAATAGCAAACACTTTTAGAAGATAAACCAGGTTTCAAAACCAAGGATTCACAAATACTTATAAATTGATCACCAAAATTCTTGTGTGTTTGTTACAAAGCCACAAATGTAAAATACAAAATCTCCTGTTATTATCTAACTAAACACCAAATTAGTAAAATAATACTTAGCTTCTGAGATAGTATATATGCAATATTATTTATACCCAAAGCTTTGTACACAAATGGCTTTTATAAATATATTTTGAAAAATAACTTTTTTGTTTTTTTGTTTTGTTTTGTTTTTTCAGGGACAGAGTGTTATATCCCAGGCTGACCTCAAGCTCAATGGAAATCCTCCTGCCTCAGCCTCCCTGAGTGACTATATTATTCATATTTATAGAATAAAAATAATCTACAGATATTTTTAAATTTAGAAAAGAGAATTAGACATGAAGCCCTAGAATTTATGCATTCCATTTTTATGCTAGTAAATTGATGGTGTCTTAAATGTAGCTTCTGCAAATTTTGACTTGATTGTATTTTTTTGTCTTCTTCCCCCTTTTCCTCCATCTTCTTTCTTCTCCCTTCCCCATTCTCCATTCTTTTTCTTCTTCCTCTTTTTCTTTTTCTTTTTCTTTTTCTTTGCCAAGGTCCTTTGTGTTGCCCAAGCTTACCTGGAATTTTTCTATTTTCTTCTGCTTGAATGTTGGGATTACAGGAGTGCACCCTCAAGCCTGGCCTTATTGAAAGATAATATTGTTGGGAAGTGCCTCATTTGTGTGTTTAACAAGGTGTTATGATAGGTCACAGAAGAGAAGGAATTAGCTGGGTATATCGAGGTGCAGTCATGGCCTTTGAATGACTACTTGTTTACTACTAAAAGACTTAGTGGTATTTATAGTCCTGGGATTGATAGTGTGAATAAACCAGTCTTCCAGCCTGCTAACAATCAGTAGATACCCAGTTACCCACAAGCTTTTCCTGTTTTCATGAGTTTTTATTTTCTTCATGGGCGCTAAGAATGATCACTATCCTTACACTTGATTTCAAGTTAGTCTCTTAGGACTTGTCTTAGTAATAGCACATAGAGTCAATTCCAGTACCCAAAGATATCTTACCACCTTCCCATTGGTAGATTGAACATGCAGTTAAGGTTCTAGTTTCAAATAACTAATATGTTAGAAGTAACTGATAATTTGTTTTGCTGTATAAGGTTGATTGGATTGGTTTTTGCTAGAGAAGTGATCAAAGAAGGTAGTACTTGAAAGATTTATTTATTTGTAGTGCTAGATATTGAACTCAGGGCTTATGAGCATGCAAGGTAAGGATTCTACCATTGAGCTACATCTTTATTCATTAGTACCTGAGAGTTTTTAATGCTTCCTTTAATTCAGTTTGAGTGAGTTCATCTTAGATATCTTTTTCTTTTAGGAATGTAACAAACCCCGAGAAGCCTTTGGATTTGAACAAGCTGTAAGAGAGTATACACTTCAAAGCTTCGGAGAGATGGCAGATAATTTCAAGTCTGATTATTTCAATATGCCAGTCCATGTGAGTAGTTATCATTTAGGTTGGTTTGAAGAGAAACTAAAGATTTTTTTTCTTCTGTGTTTAAAGTTCTGTAGAAATCAAGAACAGCTTGAAAAAGATTAGAGAACACTAAATGTTTTTTTTTTTTTTTTTTTTTTTGGTCTTTTTGAGGCAGGGGCTCCCTGTAACCCCAGCTGACCTGGAGCTCCTTATGTAGACCAGGCTGGCTTCGAACTCACAGAGATCCGCCTGCTTCTGCCTCTGAGTATGGGATTAAAGGTATGCATAAGCACACGGGACTGAGAACACTAAATCTTAAAATTATGAACGTGACATCTATTTTATTGATTTTGCTTTTTTTAAAAATTTTATTTATTTTATTTTATGGGTATGCATGTATTGCCTGCATGTAGGTAAGTTCACCCATGTTGTGCAATGCCTACGGAGGTCAGAAGAGGGCCTCGGATTCCCCTGGAACTGGAGTTAAGGACGGTTCATAGCTACCGTGTGGGTGTTGGGAATCAAACCTGGGTCCTCTGCAAGAGCAGTTAGTGGTCTTAACCACTGATCATCTCTCCAGCCCTGATTTTACTTTCTTAATATGGTACTTTGTACTCCTCTATTATGAAAGGCATTTTGATGTTTGAATTTATAAAAAAATTATTTTTATTTGTATGAGTTTTATGCCTGCATATGTGTGAGTAACCCATGTTGCAAAATGCCAATGGAGGGCAGAAGAGGGCCTCGGATTCCTTGGAACTGAAGTTACGGACAGTTTTGATAGCTGCCACGTGGGTGCTGTGATTTGAACCTAGGTCTTCTGCAAGAGCAGACAGTGCTCTTAACTGCTGAGCCATCTCCAGCAGCTGATGTTGGAATTAAAAAAAAAAATTTTTTTGTGTGTGTGTGTATATTACCTGCATGTATGTAAATGCACCCTTGTCATGTAATTGTTGTGGAGATCAGAAGAGGACATTAGATTTCTGGGAACTGGAATTATGGAGGCATCTCTCCAGCCCTGTGTTTGAATTTTTTTACATTTATTTAGAGTGAGTGAGTGAGTGTTTGTGTGTCCGTCCGTCCGTCCATCCATCTGTCCCTAAGCTCGTGTTAGGTGTGTGTGTGTGTAGGTCAGGACAACTTTTGTGAATCAGTTCTCTTTTTACCATATGGGTTCCAGGCATCAAACTCAGGTCATCAGGCTTGGAGGTCAGTGCTTTGTCTGCTGAGCCATCTTCCTGGCCTCTTGAATTGTTTATTAGTCCTTTGTGAGTAATCTGTTATAGAAAAGCATGAAGCTTGTTTGGCTGTTGTTGCTTTGTTTAGTTAGGACTCGCTTCTTTTCCTGAGATCTTTGACATTTTTGAGCCCTAGCAAAAACAATGCAAATGATAACATATATGCATACACACATACAATGTACAATGCGCAGTATAATGATATATAGCATTAGGTATGTATAATCTTATTTTTTTGAGACGGTTTGCTTTGATATCCCAGCAAAGTCTTGAGCTTGAAATCTGCTTAGCCTTTCAATTGCTTAGATTATTGGCATGTCCACCATGTCTGTGTTGGCCAAAGCTGTGAAAAATTAACCTTGTTTTCATTTCCCACTCCTTCTTGATATCCTTATTCATCTTTGTGAACTGTACAGCGGAAGCAGCCGTTTTTAGAAAAAGGCAGTTCAAATTCATTATGCTTTCTTGAATATCCTGTTATACCTTATTCTCAGCAGGGAAATCTAGAAATGAGGGAGGTTTTTTGTTGTTGTTTTTTTAATTTTATGTGTTTGCGTTCAGTTGATCTGTATACTGTGTTACAGTGGATTATAGTCATAATGGGCTAATTATCATCTTTGTTTTCCTTTGTAGATGGTTCCTACAGAACTCGTAGAAAAGGAATTCTGGCGGCTAGTGAGTAGTATTGAAGAAGATGTTATCGTAGAGTATGGAGCTGATATCTCCTCTAAAGACTTTGGAAGTGGATTTCCTGTAAAGGATGGTCAGAAAAAGATGCTGCCAGAAGAAGAGGTGTGGATACTATTATGTGAACATCTTACTCTCAAGCTGATGTGGCCTTTTCATAGAAAATTGCTTTTCTTAGTCCTGAGGAAACCTTGTTAATTTAAAATATTAAATATGTAGGATTTAGACAACATAAATAATTTTCAGTTCTATAGTGATTTTTAAACTGACCCCATATAGTAGTGCATGCCTGTAGTCCTAGCACTTCAGAGACTGAGGCAGGAGAATTATGATTAGGCCAACCTAAGCTACCTAGAGTGTTGGGATGTAGAGAGAGGTCAGAAGACAACTTTTGGGAGTCAATTCTCTCTTATTAAGAGTATCCCAAGTATCTAACTCAGGCCCTCAGGCTTGGCAGCAGACATTCTTGCCTGTCCAGCCATCTTGCTGGCCCTAATTGGAAAGTTTTTGCCTAGCCTTTCCTTTTCTAAATTGTAGGAAGTTTTGTGTATGTAATGGTATGGTGTGGCACACTTTTATTCTGGCTACTCAGGAGGCTGAGCAGAAAGGATTGAGTTTATGTCTGGCATGGGCAACATAGGTACACATTTTTGATTTTTTGAGCTAAGGTCTCAACTTTGTACCTGTCCTGGAACTCACTACTGGCTTCAAACTCACAGAGATCCACCTGCCTTTGCTTCCTGAGTGCTGGGCTTTAAGGCATGCACCACTGCATCTGGCTGTGATTTAATGGCTTTTGAAATTAGGCTTTATTGGTAATTACTGAAATAAGTTTTCTTTATTAGTTGGATAGGGAGGATTTCATGTATGCTTTAAAATTTTTTAATTGAATTTTCGAGATTTTCATACTATATAATTTGATGGTTACTTTTTAAAAATTTTATTTTATGTGTTTGAAAGTTTTGCCAACATGTATGTAAGTGCACCTGTGTCATGTAAGGCCAGTGGAAGCCAGATGGGGCCATCAGGTCCCCTGGAACAGGTCTCTGTGTATACCCCTTACTGACCTGAAACCCACTGTATAGATCTGGCTATTCTTCAGTGTGTGCCGAGAATCCTGCCTGTGCCTTCTGAGGGCTGGGATTACATGCCTTCACAACCGTACCTACTAGTTTTCATATCTTATATTGTTTTATGTATAGTTTCTTATTTGTCTTATAGTACAAATTTTTCCAGTTAGCTTTGTGACTGATACTTTACCCTCTTTTCTAATTCTTTTCTAATTTTAATAGAATTTTTCTGAATTTCATAGAATATATTCAATCATATTTGGCCCTCTCCCCTATTTGTAGCCCCCCCCCCATCTGCACCCCGCTTACAGCCCTCCCATCCCATCCCCTACCAGGTTTCATTTACTTTGTCCCATATTTTAAGGCCTATCGAGCCCAGTTTGTGTTCTCCAGTGTCCTTCAGTGTGTGTCTATCCACTAGAGTCTGGTTAACCCAACTAGTGTCACACCCTTAGAGAAATCCAACTCACCCTCTCCCAGTAGTTCCAAAGTGTTAGGATTATAGGCATGTGCCACTATACCCAGTGAGAGTTTAAATTTCTTTTTTTAATAGAAACTTCTTAAACATAAAAGTGAATATAATATTGAACCTCTGTCTCTCTACCTATATCTAGGTTCAGTTCTCAAATTTGTAATAGGTTGGATTTGCATTTCTGCCCTTCATGTAATGCTTTGCTGCTGCATATATTTCCTCTGGAAAACTCACACTTTACTTGTACAAGGTGAAAAGAGCAAATAATATGTTAGAATCTTTATGAAAATAGTTAGACTTGTGGATGCTTTGGTTCCCCCCTTTAAGAACTCTGACAGAAAGGGAGAAATACTTTATCTCTACCACTAGGATGGGTGTTTGAATTTTAATCTCCATTAGAAATTCCTATATTAACTCTAACAATAGCTTTCTTTTTCATTCTGTATTTGCTGTCCTTAGAAACTGACGGTTCATGTTTTTTCAAGTTCATCTATAAAATACATTTCTTTGTTAGTCTTAAAATTTATCTAGTTTTTCTAAATGTATTCCTAGTGAAGGGAGGAGTTGTAATGACTTCTAATCATCATACCAACCTAAAAGTATGCTACAAATTCAGAAATGTGTGTCTAGCATCATACTCTGTATATTGTAATAAGCATTTTAGGAAGTTAGGCTATTAAGGATACAGTAGAAATATAAGAGCACTTTACTGAACTAGGGCTCACTGGGGCTAAAGAGATGACTCAGCAGTTAAGAGCACTGGTTGGTCCTGACAGTTCAGTTCCCAGCACCCACATGACAGCTAAGGACCATCTATAATGCCAAGTCCCAGGGTATCTAATGCCCACCTTTTGACCTCTGTGGGCATTGCACAACATGGGTGCACTTATGTCCAAGCAGGCAAAACTCTCATATACATTAAGTTAAAAAAATTAAAACTAGGGGCTGGAGAGATGGCTCAGCAGTTAAGACCACTGACTGCTCTTGCAGAGGACCCGGGTTCGATTCCCAGCACCCACATGGCAGCTACAATGTCTTTAACAGCAATTAAGAGCACTGACTGCTCTTGCAGAGGACCTGGGTTCCATTCCCAGCACCCACATGACGGCTATGAACCATCCTTAACTCCAGCTCCAGGGTAATCTAAAGCCCTCTTCTGACCTCCGCAGCATTGCACGACATGGGTGCACTCACAAATGTGCAGGCAATACACTTGTACACATAAAATAAAAAGAAAAAAATTTAAAACTAGAGTTCACTAATTTTCTTTACTTTTTTTTTTTTTAAAAGGCAGGATCTCACTATGTAGCCCTGGCTGGCCTGGAACTGACTGTAGACTAGGCTGGCCTGGAACTCAACATAGAACAGCCTATCTCTGCCTCCTAAGTGTTGGGATTAAAGGTGTGCACTGCCTCTCCCAGCTTGGGGCTCACTATTTTACTGTAAGCTTTGCTCATGTGTTTCAGAGCAAACTAGACATGCATATCTGAAATAGAAAAATGTGAATAGAACCTAGAAAAGATTATTATGTTTAGATATTAACCATTTGGATGTGTTGAAGTACTTAGGTTAAATTATAGACTGAATGCATTGCATTATGGTATGCACTATGAAATTTTTGCCTTTTTAAGATTGTTGTTGAACATTTGTCAGTGCTGGATTTTCATTTAACTTTGTTTTACTTTTATAGGAATACGCTCTTTCTGGTTGGAATTTGAATAACATGCCTGTCCTGGAGCAATCTGTTCTTGCGCATATTAATGTGGACATTTCTGGTATGAAGGTGCCATGGCTGTATGTGGGGATGTGTTTTTCTTCTTTTTGCTGGCACATTGAAGATCACTGGAGTTATTCCATTAACTACTTGCACTGGTATGTTCAGTCTTGTTATCACATATGTTATTTAGTGACTTTGTTGTTAGGGATCAAATCCAGGGACCTCATAAATACTGAATACTTGTTCAACCACTGAGCTACACTGTCTGCCTCAGTTTTTGTGGTTGTCATTTATTTATTGGAGACAGGGTCTCAGGTAGCCCAGGCTGATCTTAAACTCGCTCTGTCACTGAAGATGGCTTTGAGCTCCTGTTTCTCTTGCTTACACAGTGCTGGGATTATAGGCATATGCTACCACACTTGGCCTGATCTTTTATTTTTAAGATGTAATAATGTTAGGTGATATATTAGGGAGAACTGACTTGAGAAGTATTAACTACAGCCAGGTGTGGCTCAAAAAGACCAAAAAAAAAAAAAAGTAAAGTATTATCATCTACACAAAAGCAAGATAATATATTGGGGAGAGGAGAAGAGTTGTCTTGAGACATCTTCGCTTTGAAAGTATGCAATTACCAATACCATTTACAATAGAGTAAAATGATGCCTTATGTAGTATATGGGAAAATAATTTTTTTTTGGCGGGGGACAGGGTCTTCCTGTAGCCCCAGCGGACCTGGAACTCACTACATAGACCAGGCTGGCCTGGACTCACAGAAATCCTACTGCTTCTGCCTCCTCTAAGTGCTGGGATTAAAGGCATGCACCACTATGTCCAGCTAAATAATAATGATTTTTAATTTGTGTATTAGAGACTGAAGGGCCTCATTCATGTTAGGCAAGCAACTTGGGGAGGAAAGGGTTTATTTTATCTTATAACTTCCAGGTCACAGTCCATAGAAGAAAGGGCAGAAACTTGAGGCAGGAACTGAAGCAGAGATGATGTAGGAATACTTCTCACTGGCTTGCTTCTCCCTAACTTGCTCAGCTACCTTTCCTCTATAACCCAGGCCCAGCTGCCCAGGGGTAGCACAATTCACAGTGAACTCGGCCTCCCACATCAATCAGCTATCAAGAAAATGCCCTATAGACATGTCCACTGGCCATTCTGATGGAGGAAATGCCTCATTTGAGGTTTCCTCGTCTCAGGTTTATCAAGTTGACAGCCAAGATTAGCCATCACGTAAGCATTGATGTTATGAGCTACATTCCCAGCCCAATATTGAATATCTTGACATGCAAAACAGGGTATTTAAACTTTATGTAACTGAAAAATCTGATTTAGTATTTGAAAATTGAAATGCCATGTTTTTTAGTAATATTTTCTCTAAAAATGCCCAATATCACGGCTGGAGAGATGGCTCAGTGGTTAAGAGCACTGACTACTCTTGCAGAGGACCCAGGTTCGATTCCCAGCACCCATATGGCAGCTACGAACCGTCCTTAACTCCAGTTCCAGGGGAATCCGAAGCCCTCTTCTGACCTCCGTAGCATTGCACGACATGGGTGCACTCACATACATGCAGGCAATACACTCATAACACATAAAATAAAAATAATAAATAAAATATTTTTTTAAAATGCCCAATATCTATGTGCAGAGATTACATTTTTTTGTATCTTAGAGTTTTTAATTCATTTAGCCAGTTCATTGTCTAGCATTGATACCTTAACTGTATGCTTTTTTTGTCTTCATTTCAAAGATTAGTTAAGAATAAATAAAATTGTGGGGCATGGTAGTGCACATCTTTAATCCCAGCACTTGGGAGGCAGAGGCAGGATCTCTGTGAGTTCAAGGCCAGCCTGGTCTACATAGCAAGTTCCAGGTCACCTGGGGCTATAGGGAGAACTTGTCTCAAAAAGACCAAAAAACAAAAAAGAATAAACAGAATTGTAAATTCACTGCCTTAATTGCACTAGCCACATTTCAAGTAAGGAACCATTGTACTTACCAGCACAAACAGAATATACATATACACACATATATGTATATATTTGACATTTCTGGTTTTATTTTATTGTATATGTGTGTGGGCCTGAGTATGTATGTATATATTTGTGTGTGTGTGTGTAAATATATATAAATATATAAATGCACCACATATATGCAAGTGCCTGTAGAAGCCAGAAGAGAACATTGGATGCCCATGGAATTGGAGTTAACAGGCAATTGTGAGCTGCCAGGTATTAGTGCTGAGAACCCAACCTGGGTCTTCTGGAAGAGTAGCAATTACTTTTAACCAATGAGCCATGTCTCTAGCTCCAAATATTTTTATCCTCACAATAAATTCTATAGGGAGCAGCTCCCATCTAAAGTCTTATGAATGTATGAGAATCAGGAAGTACAACTATTTCACAAATAACTTGACTAATTCCATTTTCTAGAAGTATAACTACTTAGTATTCTAAATGAACTCTAGTCTACTTCAATGTAATTGACTAATGATGCTAAGTTTTTGGTCTTTATAGAAAACTATATTTAAAGCTTCAACAGTTTGTAGTATTAGCTTATTTCCATGGATAGGAAAATTGAACGTTATTTATAAGTATTCTGGAGATCTTTAACTATTCACTTTGATCATTATGACAATAACTGGAGTGACTCATGTTCTCTGAATCGAGGCTCTGTGTCCATATCCTTTAGAACAGTACTTTTGATGTAATATGCTTTCTGTTCAAAAAGGTATCATTACTGACTCCCTGCTTGTGTACTTTGAGTTACTTGACAGCAAGTATCTATCCATATATTCTTGCCTTACTTCCTGTTATTAACAATAGCACAGGTTTGAGATGGTTGCCAGAATTTTGGCCAGCAGTAAGACATTGTTAATTATAATTGAGTGGGTTTGAATGAGAGACTCTGGTGTCATGATACTATGTTCTACCTAGCTAAACAGTTATTTCTTTTGCTAGGGGTGAGCCAAAGACATGGTATGGTGTGCCATCTCATGCTGCGGAACAGCTGGAGGAGGTGATGAGGGAGTTGGCCCCTGAGTTATTTGAATCCCAGCCTGATCTCCTGCATCAGTTAGTCACCATCATGAACCCAAATGTGCTAATGGAGCATGGTGTGCCTGTGAGTGTTTTTGCGTTTTCCTTTAGCATTTTCAATTTTCCTGACATTCGAAGAGATAGAATCACATGTACTTGTTTTTTAATTATAAAGGTCATGCTGTATAATCAAATTAGAATTTATACCTTAAATGGAACTTTAATAAGAAGGGATGCTTGAAAGTATGAATCATAATTATAGCTACTTACATGAATAGCTGTTTTTCAGTAAACCACTAATTATTATTTTTTTAATTAAAAAAAAAATTTTTTATTTTTTGGTCTTTTTGAGACAGGGTCTCCCTGTAGCCCCAACTGACCTGGAACTCGTTATGTAGACCAGGCTGGCCTTGAACTCACAGAGATCCGCCTGCCTCTGCCTCCCAAGTGCTGGGATTAAAGGCGTTAGAGCCACCATGCCCGGCTTTTTTTTTTATTTTAAAGTTACATTTACTTACCTATTGTGTGTGTGTGTGTGTGTGTGTGTGTGTGTGTGTGTGCGTGCGCGCGCGCATGTGCATGCATGTGCGTGCATGCGCACATGCCATGGTGCACATGTAGAGGTCAGAGAACAACTGCAGGAATCAATTCTCTCCACCATGTAGGTCCTGGGGATTAAACCCAGGTCCTCAGGCTTGACAGTTAGAGCTTTTACCCATGGAAACTCTTTGAAATGGCAGGTGTCCTAGTTTCATTTTTGTTGCTGTGATAAAACATTCTGACCAAAAGCAACTTAGGGAGGAAAGGGTCTAGATTAGATTACAATTCCAGATCACATTTCATCATCGAGGGAAGTCAGGACAGGACTTGAAGGCACCGTATAAACCAGGAATGCTGATTAGTTTTGTCAACTTGATACAAACTAGAGATATCTGGGAAGAAGGAACCTTAATTGAGGAATTTCTTTGATTGGTTTGGCCCATGGCCATGTCTGAGAGGCATTTTCTTAATTGGTAATTGATGCCCATCCCATTGTGGGTGGTGTCATCCCTGGGTAGGTGGCACTGGGCATTATGAGGGTAAGTGAGCAAGCCAGAGTAAGTAAGCCAGTAAGCAGTGTTCCTCCATGGTCTCTACTTCAGTTCCCACCTTCTGCACAGCCACAACTTCATCTCTGATCAAGGAACTCTCAGCTAAGGGAAGTACAGAAGAAACCATGGAGGATGCTGGTTGCTGGCTGAAATAGGTTTATGCTTAGCTAGCTTTTCCATAGAGTCCAGAACCACCTCATCAGGGAATGCTTTGGGTCATAGAAGGGGGTGGCTGAGTTCTCCTACCTTAATTAAGAAGACCGTCCCCCATAGGCCAGTTTAATCTAGGCAATTCTTCAATAGATGCTCTCCTTTCAGATGACTGTATTGTGCCAAGTTGACAGTTAACTAGGACAGCAGCTCTAATAACTAAGTCTTTAATTTTTTAAGAAAAATTTATCCTAGCAGATGGAGATTGTGAGTTTGAGGCCAGCCTTGTCTACTTATGAGTTCCAGGCCAGTCAGGACTATACAGTGAGACCCTGTCTCAAAAAGAGAGAGAAGGAGTGCACACATGTGTGTGTGCATACGTGTTGGGAGTAAAATGTATCTGTGGATATGTATGCCACAACATGCATGTGTGGAGGTCAGAGGACAATTGTGTGTACTCTGTTCTCTCCTTCCACCTTTATGTGGTTCTGGGGATCAGACTCTGGTCACCAGTTCCAGAACCAGTTTGCCAATCCTAATAACTAATTCCTAATGTCAGTTTTTTTTGATATTTATTATTTTTATGTGTCTGAGTATATTGCCTACATGTATGAAAGTGCACCCATGTCTGGCCTGAGGAGGTCAGAAGAGGGCATTGAATTCTCAGGGATCTGGAGTAATGGAGGTTGTTAACTGCCATGTGGGTACTGGGAATGGAACCTGGTTCCTCTGCAAGAGCAGTCAGTGCTCTTAACTGCTGATCAATTCTCCAGCCCTCCTGAAGATTTCAGTTTTTAGTATAGATAAAGATAATTATATGAAAACACACTATGGGATACCTTTGCTGCTTTCAGCTTTGGGTTTTTTCTGTTGTAGTTTTTGTTTTGTAGTTTTTGTTTGAAACATGATATGTGTAGCCCAAGCTGACCTTGAACTTGATGTATAGAAGAGTCTTAAACTGATCCTCTTGCCTCTACCTTCCTAGTGCTAGAGTTATAGACATAATGTATACTATGTCTGACTTCCAGATTAGCTTTTTTTTGTTTTGGTTTTTTTTGGGGGGGCGGGGTCTTTTTGAAACTGGGTCTCCCCGTATCCTCAAGCTGGCTTAGAGCTCACTATGTAGATCTGCCTGCCTCTGCCTTCTGAGTGCTGGGATTAAGACATGCACCACCACGCACGCCCAGCTTCAGATTCGTTTTAAATATGTTTCTCAAGTTGAAACTACTAGAACCTGATAAGTTATGTTTAATAATATGGCTACATGTAATTAGGCATTCATTATAGCTTCTGTTTTTTTCTGTTTGTTTTATGACGTGCTGAGAATGGAACTCAATGTGTTCTGCATATTATACAATTGCTTTGCTATTGAGCTGCGGTCCCTTAGCCCTTTGTTTTTAAATTTTCGCTTGTAGTTCAGATTTGGCATAGAGCTTGTGATCCTCTTGCTTCTTCCTATGTTCTGGGTTTACAAGTGTATGCCACCATACCCACTGAATATAACTTTAATGAAAAGTTAAATAAAATAACATAAGCACTGTCACTTTTGTCTTCAAAGAATGAATTTATGCTCAAATCTGTGGCTTTATGACTCAAGGCATTATTTCAAAACAAAATAATGTTTGGGAAAATTGATTTGAGGGGCTATTTCATGACGAGCTGATCAATTTAGTTTCTAAAACATCATGCAAAGATTATAGGAAATTTGATCCTTTACCTCTATTTACAACACAGGAACAAAAACCAATTTTCTTAATTGTAAACCAACATTTATTTTTAAGATAGTGTCTCAGGTAACTGAGACTGTGGGGCTAGTCTTGATCTGATCCTCTGCTTCTACCTCTCTAGTGCTGGAATTGCAGGCATGCCTCATAAATTGCAAAAGTTTATCAACTTACACTGGGTATGGTGGGGGCTGCCTTTGATCCCAGTACCTGGGAGGCAGAGGCAGGAGGATCTCTGTGAGTTCAAGGCCAGCCTGGTTTACATAGTGAGTTCCAGGCCAGCAGGGGCCACAGGGAGACCTTGTCTCAAAAAAGACCAAAAAAAAAAAAAAAAAAAAAAATCAGCTTAGGAAACTAATAGTTGAGAATTTCATTTGGCTCCTAATTCTTGTCTTAAGTTATAATATATTATTAGTGAGTATTTTAAGAAAATAGAATTCTAAAGCTGGGCGTGGTGGCGCACACCTTTAATCCCAGCACTAGGGAGGCAGAGGCAGGCGGATCTCTGAGTTCGAGGCCAGCCTGGTCTCCTTTGTGAATCCAGGACAGCTGGGGCTACAGGGAGACCCTGTCTCAAAAATACCAAAAAAAAGAAAATAGAATTCTATTTCTTAAATTCTAGCCATTTCTTAAATCCTAATCTGATATTTATAAGGTAATGCTTTATTGTTTTTGAAATTGACTGATTAAAAAAAAATGTTTTGTTTTTTTTTTTCTTTGTATCCCTTTTTGAAATTTGCATTAGGTATACAGAACTAATCAGTGTGCTGGAGAGTTCGTTGTGACATTTCCTCGTGCTTATCACTCTGGATTTAACCAGGGCTACAACTTCGCTGAAGCTGTGAACTTCTGTACTGCTGACTGGGTCTGTTCTATAGCACGTGACTGTTGTACGTCTACTAACACCCCTATAAAATGCAATATGGTAGCCATATTTGCTTAGCTGGGTGCTGGGTAGGGCCTGTGAATATTTCAGGCTATATTGTAATTCAGATTTTGCATTACATTGTTTGCTCATTATTTTCCCTATTATGCTTGAAATTAATTGGGTAGTTATTTTCCGAGTTTTTCCTGAAGGAATGTTTCCTCTAGTCTTCACTTTGAGCATTTTTGGATCTTAAAATTTATAAATGATAATGCAGTGGTTTCTATATCAAAAGGCCATTAGTTAATGGCTTCATCATATTGATGGGGAGAAAGGTTTCATTCCTTAAACACACTGACTTTATTTTCCTTTTTAAACTCCCCCCCCGCCCAGTGTATTTTGTTTTTATTTTTTATTTTTCTCAACATTTTCAGGGAATCTTTTAGTAACATTGGCTCTTAGGTTTTATTTTTAAAAAAATATTTTATTATTATTTTTATTTTATGTGTATGCATATATTGCCTGCATATAGGTAAGTGCACCCGTGTCGTGCAATGCTCGAGAAGGACAGAAAAGGCTGTCAGATCCCCTGGAACTGGAGTTATGGACAGTTGTTAGCTGCCATGTGGGTGCTGGGATTCAAACCCAGGTCTTCTGCAAGAACAGCCAGTGTTCTTAACCACTGAGCCATCTCTCCAGCCCTGGCTCTTACATTTTCTATGGCTAACTTAATTTGTTTTACTTCATGATTATTCAAACAGAGAAAATATGATATATTCAAGAGTATTTTGGTTAGGGGATGGAGTTTTGCTGTGGTGTTAGGCTGTCTTTGAACTTCTAGGCTCAAGAGATCCTCTTGTTGGGCTCCTGAGTAGCTGGGACGAAAGGTCACACTGTGCATATCCTGTAGGCAGTCTTGTTTTTATCCAGCATTTAAAACTTCTTTATTAGGCTGTGGAAAGGTTATAATTTAGCTTAGACAAGACTGAGTTAGGATTTGCCTTGAACCTCAGCTCTGCTTTTAAAAACAGCCTATTTCGGTGCTAGAGAGATGGTTCAGTGGTTAAGAGCACAGGTTGCTGTTACAGAGGACCTGCGTTCATTTTCCAGCACCCACATGGTGGCTAACAGCCATCCGTAACTCCAGTTCCAAGGGAATCCAACTTCCTCTTCTGACTTCTTGGACAGTGCATGACATGGGTGCACTTACATGCAGGCAATACACTCATACACATAAAGTAAAAATAAGTAAATAAAATATTTTTAAAAATAAAAAATAGCCTATATTAACTATGAATTACATGGTACTGGCTGAATAGGTATAGGACAGGATACAAGATGTTTTAGTTAAGAATTGAAGATGGTTTCTGCCTTTAACATGCTCACTAATAACTTTATTTTTTTGAGACATGGTCTCATTATGTAGTGCTAACTGGTCTGGAATTCACTATGTAGGTCTGGTTGATCTTGAACTTACAGAGATCCACTTGCTTCTACCTCTCAGTGCTTCCCAGCATGCACCACCATGCCTGGCTAATATTGATGCATGATTTTTTTTTTTTTTTTTTTAAGGTGTGTTGAGTTTCTTGCATGCACCATGTGTATGCAATGCTTGTGGAAGCCACAAGAGGGTGCTGGATGCCCTGGCATTGGAGTTAAGGATGCATGTATGCTGCCATGTGGTTACTGAGATCTGAACCCAGGTCCTCTGCAAGAGCAGCCAGTGCTCTTTAACTGCAAATTCACCCCTACAGCCCCTCTTGAAGAGCTCTTAATTTTACTGGGCCTAAATTGTTTTAAAATTTTTTGTGGCAGAGGACAACTTGCAGGAGTTGATACCATGTGAGTCCTGGAGACTGAACTCAGGTCATGAGTCTTGGTGGCAGATACCTTTACCCACTGAGACGTTATCTCTGCCCAAGGGCCTAAGTTTTTCCTTTTTCCTTTTTTTAAAAAAATTATTTATTACTTTTATTTTATGTGTATTCGTGTATTGCCTGCGTGTAGGTACTTAAGTGCACCTGTGTTGTGCAATGCCCGCGGAGGTCAGAAGAGGCTGTCGGATCCCCTGGGACTGGAGTTACAGACAGTTGTTAGCTGCCATGCGGGTGCTGGGATTTGAACCCAGGTCTTCTGCAAGAACAACCAGTATTCCTAACTGCTGAGTCATCTCTCCAACCCCAAAGTTTTTCCTTTTTTGTGTGCTTTTACTATTTACTTTATGTGTATGTGTGCCTAAGTGTATGTGGTCAGTGTGTGTGCAGGTGTCCAAGTGGTTGTGAGCTGCCTAATATATGTGCTGGGAACTGAACCCTGGTCCTCTATAAGAGCAGCAAGTGCTGTTGAAACTGTTGAGCTATCTCTCCAGCCTTAGGCCTAAGATTTTTTAAAAAAATATTTATTATTTTTATTTTTATTTGTATGAGTGCATTGCCTGCATGTATGTGAGTGCACCCATGTCGTGTAATGCAGCAGATATCAGAAGAGGGCGTTGGATTCCCCTAGAACTGGAGTTAAGAATAGTTTGTAGCTGCCGTGTGTGTGCTGGAAATCGAACCTGGGTCCTCTGCAAGAGCAGTCAGTGCTCTTAACTGCTGAGCCATCTCTCTGTCTTCTCAGCTGCCTTTTGTATAAAAGCCCAGGCCCACCTGTCTAGGGATGGAACAGTCCACAGTGAGCTGGAACTTCCCATATAAACTAGCAATTTAAAAAAATGTCTCCTCATAGACACTGTCACAAGCCAGTCTGATAGAGGAAATTCTTCAAGTGAAATTCTTCCCTGTTCCTAGGTGACTAGTTTGTTTCAAGTTGACAAAAACAAACCAGCACAAATAAGAAAAAGTTATATGTTAATAAACAGCATGATTGTTCACCATAGGTCACAATATGATTTGTAAGTAAACATTATTTGTTTATTGAATATGAAAATATAGCTTGATTCAGAGATAATCTGATACACTCTAAACCTCTGATTCCTGCCTGCCATTCTCAAAGTGGAAGTGAATTTTAAAATGTTCTTAAAGGGTTATTTTATTTTTCTCCTTTTTTATTACAGTTTTCAAATCCAAGCTAACCTTAGCCATTATAATTTTTCCACTGAACATAGGAAAGATGAAATTGGAGAGAGAGAGAGAGAGAGAGAGAGTAGTTTGTATCATAATTTTGTTTTCAGACTGGCTATAGACATTTTTGGAATTCATGTTAGAGAAAATATGTATTTGTGTTGGTTTTTGTTGGTGCTAAGGCTCTAACCCAGGGCCATGTACTTGCGAAGGGCATGTTATACTACTGAACTACATCTCCAACTGTACAGTATGCCTTTTGTGAAAAGTGGTTATTTATTTATTTCAGTTAGAGAGAGGAAAGTGTGTTAAGTAGTCATTTCATTTCATGTTTTTGAATTCTCATTCTGCTGCCAGGTTGGTTATTAAAAGAATTCTAGAGGCTAAAATCCCTATAAAAATGATTTAAGTCACACAATGTAAATTGCTTTAATAATATCACTCCCCTATCTTTTTTCCTTTTCTTTTTTTCTTTTTTTTTTAAAAAAGACAGGGTCTCCCTTTAGCCCCAGCTGACATGGAACTTGCTGTGTAGACCAGGCTGGCCTCAATCTCACTCTCATATGGTATTTATGTTTTGTTTCTGTAACAGACATAGCTCATAAGTATACGTTCATCAACTTAATTAATTTCATTTTTTATTTGATTTTTAATATACATAATTTACGTGTGAATTGCTCTGGGATTTTTTGGGGTGGTCTTTTGGAAACAGGGTCTCCCTGTACCCCCAGCTTGCCTAGAACTCACTGTGTAGACCAGGCTAGCCTTAAACTCACAGAGATTTGCCTGCTTCTGCCTCCCAAGTGCTGGGATTAAAGGCGTGCACCGCAACACCCAGCTTCTTCTGTAGAATCTTAAATGTTCAACACTTCACACAACATTTATTGGCCTGAACTTTACAATGTTTTAACAATATTTATCTTTTTTATTTAAGGGTAGCACTTTGTTAGACTGTTTTAAAAGTTTGTTGCCTCATATAACAAGGCACTCCAGCTTTTTAGTGTTTTGATACAGCGTCTTATGTACTCCAGGCTGGCCTTGAACTTACATGTAGCCAAGGATAGCCTTGAACTCCTGATCTTTTTGTCTTTACTTCCCAAATTACAGGTTTGCGCCAGTTTGCTCTGCTCTACAGCTCCTTGATAAACACAATGAGTAGAAAATCCACAGCTTAGGCTGCAAACTTTAGCATCTTAGTTTATGGGCACCTGAAGAGTAAATAGGGGTTCTGTGCTGGAATATGTCATAAGCAAGTAATTTAATTTGGAAATCTTTTGTTCAGTTGCCCATTGGACGTCAGTGTGTAAATCATTATCGGAGACTGAGACGCCATTGTGTCTTTTCACATGAGGAGCTCATTTTCAAGATGGCAGCAGATCCAGAATGCTTAGATGTGGGGCTAGCTGCCATGGTTTGCAAAGAATTGACCCTCATGACTGAAGAAGAAACACGATTAAGGGAGTCTGTTGTACAGATGGTGAGTTTGCTGATCACATTTCTTATATTTCATGCTGCTTATATAATGAGAAAAAAATTAAATTTATAGAAAACCATTTTTATCTTTGATCTTTTTTAGAAGTTGAACATAAAAATGACCTAATTCTAAGGTTTTATATTTTTCTATTTGCTATTTTTGTTTCTCAAATTGAAAAAGTTTTATGAAATATGCCATCTCTAGACTTCTTAAACAGCAATCTTGTATGGTAGAATTTTTTAGATATATTATCTTTTAAAATCTACATATAGGGCTGGAGAGATGGCTCAGTGGTTAGGAACGCTTGCTGCTCTTTCAGAGGACCTGAGTTCAGTATCCAGCACCCATATTGAGTGGTTTACAACCTCCAGTAACTCCAACTCCAGAGGATCCAACACTTTTCTGGCCTCTGAAGCCACTGCATGCACACAGAGAAGCACACACATAAAATTTTTAAAAATCTTTAAAATACGTAGTATTCTCTCCTCTCCTTTCTCCTTTTTTTGAGGGGGAGGGGGCATTGTAGGGGAGGACAGGACCTTACTCTGTAGCCCAGACTGGCCATGAACCTGTCAGAGTCCTCTTGTTTGAACTTCTCAAGTACAGGCATTGCAGGTGTGAGCCACCTGGATTTAGTATTATTTTGCATTTTTATTTACTTATTTGTATTATGTATCTGTGTGGGATTATAAGCACTCACAGACCATGGTGCTAGTGGAGATCAGGAGAGAAGTCTTGGTTCTTTCCTGCTACCTTATGGCAAGTGCCTCGAATGCTTGAACCATAGCATTAATTACTTTAAGAAAATTCAGGGGCTGGAAGATGCCTTGGAGGTTAAGAGCACTTGCTGTTCTTCCAGAGGTCCTGGATTGGCCTCCCAGCACCCACGTGGCAGTTCTGTTGTCCTCTTTCAGCCTTTGTGGGCACAAATCACTTTAAAAAAAAATTTCAATCCTCTTTTTTTCCTACAAGCATTGTTTTGCATAAGAATTGTGTGGTCCTAGGGTATTAGATCAGATTACTCTGTCTTCCCCTTCATCGCTTCAAACACCAGTTGTTTTCAGGGTTCAGCTATTGGCTTTCTTTCTGTTCCCTTTGTGCTACTTCTGTAGCTAGAATTTTAATTCTCTTTAATCTACTGTTTCAGTTGAGACTTGATCTAGTGATATAAATTATATTCCAGGGTGTCGTGATGTCAGAAGAAGAAGTGTTTGAGCTTGTTCCTGATGATGAGCGACAGTGTTCAGCATGTAGAACCACATGTTTTCTCTCTGCTCTCACATGCTCCTGTAATCCGGAGCGACTTGTGTGTCTCTACCATCCAACTGATTTGTGCTCCTGCCCCATGCAGAACAAATGTCTTAGGTATCTAAAAGTTTTGTGTAAAATTTGTATTGCCTTTTAAGAAATCAAATCTTAATATTCTTAATTTTCTTTCCTGTCCCTAAATAAGTAACTAGTTCTTATCTATTTCCTGCATGAGAACCAGTCCTTTAAAAGTTGTCCCTAAATAGCCTAGCTGTAATTAGCTTTTGTTTAACTTAAAAATTTTTTCTTTATTTTTATTTTAATGTGTATGAGTGTTTAGCCTGCATATGTGTAAGTACACCATGTATGTGCAAACCTAGAGAGGCCAGAAGAGGGTGTTGAATTCCCTGGAACTGGAGTTATGGATAGTTTTTAGCCACGTAGGTGCTAGAAACCAAACCCGAGTCCTCTGCAAGAGCAACCAGTACTCTTAACTGTTGAGCCATTTCTGCAGCCCCTGTAATAAGTTTCTTGGCAAGTTAATGTTACGTGTTCCTGGTCTGTCTTTGCATTGAAACTGTGAACCTCTTTGGTTTTTCTCTTAATTTATTTGCAAGTTGTTATATTTTGGAATTTTTACTTTATTTTTAAATTTTTGTAGATACCGGTACCCACTAGAAGACCTCCCATCTCTTCTTCATGGTGTAAAAGTGAGGGCACAGTCCTATGACACCTGGGTCAGTCGTGTTACAGAAGCATTATCAGCTAACTTCAACCATAAGAAAGGTTAAATTTCCTCTTTTTTATGTAAAATTGTTGCCATTTTAACAAAAGCCTTGTTTTATGTTTTTGTCCTCCAGTAACAAAAGAAAGTCATCTTACAATGACTTAGTTAAATGTATATCTAGTATTTTCCCATTCAAGTACTAACCAGACTTGATCCAGCTTAGCTTCTGAAATCAGATTAGGCACAGTCAAGTTGGTATGGTTGTAGACAATACCTAATTTTCTCTTTGAGACTGGTTTTCTGTTTGAGAATCATTTTTAAGACTTAGGTCTCCTGTTGACTGAAATATCCTTTGTAGTCCTGTCATGGCCTTTCCTGTCCTGGTGTCCCAAGTGCCAAGATTACAGATGTGTGCCCCCAAACCTATTGCGAATCCTTAGAATCCCAATTTGTGGGCCATTTCTCCAGCCCCTGTAATTAGTTTCTTGGCAAGTTAATGTTACATGTTCCTGGTCTGTCTCTGCATTGAAACTGTGAACCTCTTTGGTTTTTCTCTTAATTTATTTGCAAGTTGTTATATAGCCCCAGCTGTAGCCCCAGCTGGCCTGAATTTGATATGTAGACCACCAGGCTGGCCTTGAACTCACAGAGATTCACCAAGGCGTGTACCACCATGCCCAGCTCCTAAAATCCCCTTTTAAATGAAAAGGCTGACATAAAATGGGACAGCTAAGTTGTAGTAGGTATGTATTTTTGGAGAAACATATGTTGGACCAATAATGAGAACTTTTGGGTTTGTGTGTGTGTGTGTGTGTGTGTGTGTTGGGTTTTGGGAGTGTGTGTGCGTGTGTTTTGGGTGTGTGCGTGTGTTTTGGGTATGTGTGTGTGTGAGTGTGTTTGAATGAAGTCAGTTGTTTAGAATAAGCACTTGACCAGAGGCTTTCGCTACATTGGAGATTTTCACAGCTGCAATATAGTTCTACTAGTATGTTATTGATTTTGAGTGAGGTTTATGAAGATTTAAAATGGCTTTTTGTGTCTATTATCTATTTATCTTTACAGATTTGATTGAACTGAGAGTAATGCTAGAAGATGCTGAGGATAGGAAATACCCAGAGAATGAGCTCTTTCGAAAGCTCAGGGATGCTGTAAGAGAAGCTGAGACCTGTGGTTCTGTGGCACAGCTGCTTCTGAGCAAAAAGCAAAAACACAGGTAAACTTAGGAATGAGTTTAGTTCTCCACTGGGATCCTAGTCTTTCTGAGTAAAAGGCAAAGTTTTAACTGGCCTATGAGGCCTTGTGTTATTTCCCCCTCTGCGGCCATGTTTCTTCCATTCCTGGTAAGTTCTCATCTTTCTTTCCCCACCCCATTTTCTCCATGTTCATAAATTGTGAAACGCCTTTTTTTAAATTTTACTAAAATACTGTTTTTATTATTTTTATTTTATGTGTATGAGTGTATTGCCCACGTGTAGGTAGGCATACCTTGTGCATGCAGTGCCTACAGAGGCCAGAAGAGGCATGGAGTTACAGATAGTTGCTAGCTCCATGTGGGTGCTTGGGATTGAACCCGGGTCTGGAAAAGCAGTCAATACTTTTAACTGCTAAGCCATTTCTCCAGCCCCATGAAAAGCCTTTAAATTGAAGCTAGCTGTAAACTGTGTCGGGAAGACAGCAAATGAACCTGTTGGTTTCAATGCTAGAAATTACACTGGAATTTTTTATTTTATACTAAAAAACTGAAGGAACCTAAAAGAGAACAGTAGGAGACAGACAGGTGTTACTAAGGGAGAAATGGATAAAATTGGGGTATTTAAATGGGAGCGGGGAGGGAGGGTTATACAAGGAACTTTGGGGATAAAGAGAAAGGAGATTGAGAGGTGGGACCATAGGAGACTATTATCAAGGGAAAAGTGGAGAAAAAGGGGACACTTTAAATGGGGAAAGTCAGGGTAAAAGGGTTAGATGGTGAGAGAGAGGAGAGATAAATAATGCCTAACTAGTATAAAAAACTTAAGGAAATATTAGTCCAACAACCTAATGACAAATTACACATACAGCATCCCTACATGAGTCTGTGAGCATAGCTGAAGGCTATATAACAAGAAACAGTGCCAGACAGGACAAACCTTCCTTTGAGTCATTGGCCAGGGTGGTCCAAGAGACTCCCCAAAATTACACAGGCTACTGCCAAGGCCCTTGATTGCTTCCCAGAACTTGAAGGTAAGATACAACTGCTGAAGACAGAACATACTCACACACAGGATTTAGAGCAATGAAGCTAGAACAGACCTGGACGTCACTTTCTCTGAAGGCTAGCTCTCATAGCTTTGAAAAGCACCTTACAAGGGCTAAGGGAGCTCATGTATCAGTCATCCAACACCAGCTTCAAGACCAAAAAACCACATCAGTGACCTGCACAGCATATGACATTGGTGCAGTAGTGGCACTTTTATCTTGGGGGCAATCAACAGCTACCTACTTGGACTAATAGATTTTATTTTATTTTACTTATTTATTTTTTATTATATGTATTTTTTATTTTTTAA